TCACTGCTAATAAATCTTCAAATGAAACACCTGCCAGTGACAGCTAACAAGATGCCTTTCATTGAGGTGACTATCTTAAAAGAATTATTAATACTAGCATTTAAACTAAATTAGTGATATTCATATACACTGATTTCAGGGATACTTTGGAATACTACTTAGATCGTATGTAAATAGACGATAATGTATGAGTTACCTGTGTATGTCCCATGAATATATCGACAACAGGACATCTAGTATTTGTGCTTTTTAGCTCTTTTTAATATTTATATATACAGACACTTTGTCCAGGCGTACTTATAGATAGGACAGTATTCACCAGATATAGATGTAGTAAATTAGATAATTTAAGTCACAACTATAAAGAATCAACTCCAAAGTTTTAGTCTTAAAGTTACTATTTGTTATGGCAAATACGTGTATATATGAGGTGATGCAAAAGATACGTGTGCTCAATAAAAACTGCGATTATTCAAGAACACATAATAGATAAATCTGTAGCAAGTATATCTGCTCTGCTTTTTACAATTTTTTCTAAAGCTTGATAAAAACAAAACATAAGTGTTCAAATAATGTTGCAACATTGTTATTTGCATGGCTCATAGTTCAGATAATTGTTTGTCTTATTGCATCACCTCATTGGTAGTTGAATATTGCATATATCGTGCAAAGGTTTAGTTTTTCGTCAGACACAATGTTGCCACGTTGTTTTTAATAAAAGTTCATAATTTGATAGTCTATTTCCTACATATAGAAGTACTATGGGGAATAATTATAATATAAAAAATGGGACTGAACGTTATTTTTATTAGCAAATTATTTAACAATTCATACCAGTTTGCAACGTTTATACAAGATGTTTTATAAAAAGCAAATCTCGTTCTCCGACAGTAAGTCAGTTCCTACAAAATATTTTTAGGCAATATCATCCTTTCATAGAGATACTGTTAATAGCTTTTTATTGCGATTTGCAATAACATTTACATTGATGCTTTTTATAAAGCATCACCAAATATTCTACAAATAAATAGCCCTTCTTTTACACATATAACATATTCCTTCATTAAGTTCCTGGGAAATTCAAAATTTTATTTAGGCAGCATTCTTTAATGAATGTATTAATAAATAACATCAATAACGTCATACATACTCGTACACATCATATTATCATATTCGCACACGATAAAAAACTTTGAACTTTGTGCTACAATTTTTCTTATTTCAAAAGATAGTATTCATGGCTTTTAAACTTTGATGTGCCAAGGTGTACTTATGTACTCAAGACAGGTTCTTAAATTTGTAGTGCAAAGTCTTGTTATGCCATCTATTATCCCAGGAACCAGTAGTAATACGAGTATACTCGTATAATTATCAGTAATATAATTAATGGTACTGCTACTGTTTTGAGAGCATAAGACACTTTCTTAAATTATGTTAAATGTACATAAAATACTATACAAAATTGACTTCTTTTAATTCATTAAACAATATTGATGATATAATCAATATAACTTCTGAGATACGCATGTTTTGACTTGTAGCAATATATGTATATTTTTATCTTTATACTTAAAAAAAAAAACAGTTTAGTTTCGTTTATTAGAATTTTAACTTTAAATCACTAAATTTGAAAGTATCTAGTTATCAAAATTTAATTCAAATATGAGACCAATGTCCACCTCACGATTCTATATAAGATGCTTGTAAAATCATAGCAGTTAGGAATGCCCATGTTGTATAAAATAACTTCATTATTATATTATTATAGAAATAATAATAAATGCTTGTTCTATGTATAATTTTCATTTTTTGATTAATTCTCTTTTACACAGAGAAATGATTCAAATTATAATATTTTCTTGATTTTCACTTATTTTATCAAATATAAAAAAACATTTTTTTAACTTTATCTGTACTTTGCTCATTAACTTTACATGTGAGCTACAGTATACACAAATTAGTTAATATGTGATCATCTCTCTAATGCATAACACAATATTTAAAAAAATATCATGATAATTAATATTACAAAAGTGAAATGTTAAAAATTAAACGTCATAAACATTACAATTATGCTTTTTTAATCAAAGAGACTTGCTAAATGCTTTATTCTTCTAAATAATTGTAACCACTATGCAATTAATATATTAAAAGCAATACTTATATCATTTTAAAGTACTCTTTCTTAATAGTATAATATATATTGTAGATTTATTGTCTATTAAAAAGATGATGACATATAAGCTGATTTTGTGTTCTTACTAATCTATTTAAAATCTTCATGATGATACAGATATAGAAGAAAAAATAAAGATACCATCGAAATTGTTACCGTTATGCCAGTTAAATAGGAGATAAAAATATACAATATATAATCTTATTTCAGAGATATTTATAAATTTGTGTAAATGTAACTATGTATCATGATTGCAAGCAAAATAAACTACGCGTATGATTTCAGCATCATAAATGAGTAATATGAATTAAAACCTAATAATATCACTGCATAAATAAAATTTACATTGAATATGTGCTCGTTTTATCTTTTGTGATAATAGTCTTATAATTCATTAATTTGATACAGGTATATATATCTATGTATATACATTTATATATATATTTAATAAACTTTACAACTTACTATATCTTCTCAATATTATGAAAGCTGCATATTTATTTACCATGCTTTGAGCTATAATATTTAACACCTGTTTGCATAGAACATCTTGCATATTTAGTTAATAAACCATTCACATTCATTTTATTTGTTTCAAATTTCCTGTAATAATATTATTATAAAATAACTGTTTCTAATGTGTAAGTTGTATTAAAATTAAAATATTTCAAAATTATTTCCATACTAACGATATATATGGAGTTATTTCTTCAAGAGTCCACTTTTCTCTAACTTTAAATATTTCTTTAAGCCTATCATTGATATTTTTGGGTAAAGTCTCTTCTGGGAAAGATATCACTTCTTTTTGCATAATGCTCTTATTATAAATAATAATTGCAATTCCTCTTAAGTATTCCTCTTTGGGCACTATTTCTAAAATTGTTTTTAATAAAAAAAATTACAAGTAATTATTCAAAAACTGTGTTAGTATTTACTTACTTTCAGGTGCCCCCATTTTCCAAGATTCCATAAAGTCATTATATTTATTAATAGGTATAGCACTAAGAAAAACTTTAGCTAAAAGTTTACAAACTTTTTCTTCATTGTATCTACAAAGGATTTTTATGTTAGAAAAATTATATTTATAAAATTTAAAATGTATAAAATAATTACACATATCTATAAGTTTGTAATAGTACCTATAAAAAGGACTACCATCCTCTTTAACTTTTTCACTTAAACTTGTATATTTTTCAAATAGTGCATTAAAAATAGGTTCAGCAATAAGTTCTTTCAAAGAATCATATGTAACCTCTTTATCGACTTCATCTACTTCCCACGAGTAATCATTAAACAAATCTAACATATATGTTACATATCGTACCTCAGCTTCAAATGATATTAATCGAAGAAAACCTTAATAGCAAAATATAAAATATAATTTAGTAATTAACTATATTAACAAAATTTGTTAATAAATTTTATAGTTTTACAAAATTTCATGAAAAGTTACCATTTATCATTACTACTAAATGATCATTTAAAGCCTGTTTTATTTCATCCTCGCTAGCCTGAATCTCGTTTCTTAATTTATCCCAGTCATAAAGTGTCATTGAATCTATGTTTGATTCATATTCCTTACCATTGTAACAAGAAGGTTGAAGTATTGTTAATATTTTATCAACCCGAGGTTTGCATTCGTGTACCTAAACAATTTTCATTAATATTTACTGAAGCTTTAATTTAAGATAATATAATAAAACTGATTACAAAAATTATCTTAAATACCTCATAGTAAGTATGAAAAATTCCTGTTACACAACATCTTTTAATCACTCTACCTTGCTCTGCTGAGCTCTTGGTATCATCTGCTAACATTAAATCAGGTACCAATAATAAAGAATTTGATGTCTCTGCTTCTTTTATCTCATAGGTCTGATTTTCTGTACAAAGTACTGCGGATTCATTACTACTACCTTTAAAGGATAAACTTAAATCCCATAAAATTAATTATCTTACCAAATATCATTAAATAAGATATAATACAATATCCACAATTTAACTATATAAAAATATGAAATTTTTATGTAATATTTTTTAAAAATTAATTTGTTACCTATCTCCTTTATTAATTATTTCTAACAGTTGTTCATCAAGCTCAACCAATTTGATACCATGACCAGAAAAAAGATCTTCTGCAGGATATAATATCTGTGTTGTTCCATTAAGATCAGATTCATCTATGTCAGCAGAACGCAATGTCTCACGCACGTGTTCAACGTTACGTAGATAACTAAAGGATTTAAAATTTATTTACAATTATTTATTAATAACATCAAAGAAATTATTCTTAACTTTATACTAACTTTGTACATCCAGATTCGTTCATAATTCACAGTACAAATAAAGAATATCACTGCGTTTTTTACTTCTATTTGAATTCAAAAATGTTTATATTGATTTTTATTTGATTTTGTTTTATTTTGTTCTAATTTGACATTGCAAAGTAAAATTCTCCCGCGCCACTTCTTGACACTACTAATTTAAATATTAACAAGAAAAATCGCTACGTATCTCTAAATAAATAGTAAATCAATTTTTTGTAAGGCACGTATACACGAATCTAATCCTTTTTATTTTAATAGTTTAATTATTTTAATAATGTTTTCATTTATATGCACTTCTCTCTCTCTCTCTCAAACTAGATATTTTAAATACTATTATTTAATATATCTAGTAAATTCTTACTATATTATTTTTATTAGTATAACAACTTTTATTAGTAGTATGTTATTTAACTACTAGATGGTGCACAAAAGTCATTTGTAAAAAAATTGTCTTATGGAAGTGTCAACTCTATATGATTCTTTTTATGGTGTGATTTATTGAAGAGATTAAGTAGTTGGTGGCCATATTATTGCCTTCCCGTTGCTCTTATCAACGAACTGTGCTGTGATCGAATAGTCTGAATTTTAACAAATTGTGTTTTTATTACGGTACGTATTTATTTAAGGACTAATTATTCTCAATAACATTTTTATCAAAAAATCGACTAGTATATCATGATATACGTGATTTATCCGAATATGTTTTATCAAGATAAATCATGTCTAACAACTCAAGTATGTATTATTTCAATTATTTTTTTTTATTAATTTATATTGAATTATTCGATAATTTATCGACTGACACGCGACACTATTTCGATTATTATTATATATTTATAATAGTAATATATTATGATAAGAGAATCATAACCTTTCTAATGAAAAATGATGAGTAACGAATGTTTTCTGTATTATTATACATGTATAAATTACATATGATCTAGATATAGATGTAGGTAGTAATAAATTGTATTCAATTGCGTACAAAAGATCGTATTTATTTCAACAATAAAACTTCTTTTTATACATTATGTAGATCATTTTTCTTCCTTCTAACTGGTATTGTTTTGTTATTTTTAGGAAAATTATTTATCCAATAAAGAAATAACAATGTCAAACGATGTAAATATGCAATCTGATAAGGTATGTCATAGTTTAAATATTTAGCATGTTTATAATCATGCATGATAATACAATTGTAAAAAATATGTGAATATAAAGTGTATATTTATATGTGCATTAATATATGAACACGTATGTATGTGTATATATGTATATATATATTATGTATATCTACACATACAAATGTGTATCTTGGGCTGCTATGGGGGAAGAGGTTGAGATATCATTAATGCGTCTATTTGGAACACTGGAAAACACTGGTAAATGAAAGCTCTTAATTAATACAACTTTTCCTTTGAATTAAGCCCGATGAGGAAGAAATTGTCGATAAAGCTGAGGAAGAAGAGGGCAAATCATCTGTTGACCTGCATGCGGTACCTATCTCTGCAAATTAAACTTGCTACTTAAAAGCCTACCTTTCATGACTTATCCTATGTTTGCCACTGTATTAACTCCAGTTTGTATGATATAAAAATGTATAGTAGTGCAATTGTAACTTGTAAAAACTTCATACGGATATAAATGCAAAATTATATGAAGTCAAACAAACTTTTAGCAAGAAAGCGGCCCTGTTTATGGTGGCTGTGAAGGACCAAATGCAATGTATGTAAAATTGGTTAGCAGCGATGGTCATGAGTTTATTGTGAAACGAGAACATGCATTAACAAGTGGAACGATCAAGGCTATGCTTAGTGGCCCTGGTCAATTTGCAGAGAATGAAGCCAATGAAGTTAATTTTCGTGAAATTCCGTAAGTTTAATAAGTTTTCGACAAAGTCGATTATGTAAATATTTGTAACATAAGAATTTTATATTTTATTAATGTTTTCTTTATAGATCTCACGTACTTCAAAAAGTCTGTATGTATTTTACTTACAAAGTTCGTTATACGAATAGTAGCACAGAAATTCCAGAATTTCCAATTGCACCTGAAATTGCGCTAGAACTATTAATGGCTGGAAATTTTTTAGATTGTTAAATATAATACTAAACCTTGCAGTGCTTTATTTTTAAATGGCAAATTTCGTTTTTTCTATTACTATTATTTATCATTAAAGTGATTATACTTTTTTCTGAAAAAATTTAACACCTAAATAATAACATTAATGACAAAGTCTAACACTCAGGAGTCATAAACATTTTTGGTTAATAATAATATGATTTACTTCTACGAAAAAGACACAAGGTGCATCGAAAATTATCTACTTATGAATGATCAATGATTATATGTAATTTATTATGTAATTTTATATCAATATTCTGTTTAATTTTGTTAGAACTAGGGTTTTATGGAAGAAAAAAATATATTTGTTTTTTTTTGTCTAACATATTATTTGAAGACAACCAGAAATGTTTTAACGTTTAGTGATATAAATATTTAAATAGCAGAATGTATTTAAACATGCAATTCAACAGAAAAGTATTGTCTGTAAATAACGATATATTGCGGCAAAAAAATACGATGGATCAAATAATTTGCATTGTTTGTAATTTTTATTGCGGATCTAAGAGAGAGAGAGAAAGAGATAGAAATAATTAGGCAGATTCTCAAATCACAGAATTCTCATCATTTATTACATTCTGTATAGTAACAAATTATATTTTTTGTTAAATATAAGTAAACTATTTATTCTTGGACTAAAATATATTAAACAGCGATAAGAACATCCTACAGTTTTATCAGAAAGTTTATCTTACTTTGTTTTTAAATGACAATGTCGAAATTCTAGATTAAGTTAAAAAATGATTTTTATAGAAAATAAGTTAGCTATTATATGCAAATGTGTTAAATCTTATTTTGTCTAATAGAAAATCAAATATTGTTTTTGACATCTATATACAAAAAATATACGGAAATCTAAGATAAATGAAACAGCTAAGTGCATTAAAATAGTATGTTAATGTTGGTGCATAATTATTTATAAGTACTTCATAATAATTGTGTAAAAACATGTGTTAAAGCATAGAACTATAGAGATACTAAATTTTCACTTTCTTACATTTTAACATCTTTTATTTGCATAGAAATGTGAACACCAATGATCATGATTCATATAATTAAACTGTGGACTTTAATTTTACAATCTAATTTTTTTGTAATTATTTATTAACTTTATTTATTATTAATTTTTTTTTAAGTAAATGCAAGCACAAATATACTTTGTTAACACGTTAACTGCCGTGAGGTCACCAGTGACCTCAACAAGACTGATAGTAAAAGTACATAATTAGAGTAAATATCGATTCTGATAAATTTTTAAATAATATCATTGTTTTTATAAGGATTTGAAGAAACTATGACATACAGAGCATGCAAAAATAATTTTTTTATTACAAGGAAAATTAGGAGTTACTTGTTTCTATAACACAATTAAATTTACAACATAAATACTTGTTGAAAACTATCCATTTTCAGATTCTTGCAAACAAAGATAAAATTTCAAAGAAAATAAAAAATATAAAAAAATCCGTTGGAGGTTCTTCAAAGGGGATTATGACTATTATAAACTGAGTAAATATAATATATTTTTTCATGAAACTTGGTTCCTTTGGTCTTTGTATATGTCCTCTGCACATAGAAGAATCAATCTTCACGGTCAGGAATTATTCGTTGCTATAAATTTCTCAATTTTATCGGTATTTAGAAGGAACTAATAATCATAAAATGGTCTACAACGCCTCGACGGTCACCGGTAACCTCACCATAAAAAATAGATAAAACACAATAATACAACGTCGTTTATCAGTTGTAAAAAGATATCAACAAAATATGCATCCTATAATAGAAAAAAAGTGTAGGCGTGGTAGAAAAGTCACGTAAAAAGTGCTGGCAGTCAACGTGTTAATCTCAATTAAAATAAGTAACTTAAAAATGAACAACTATTATTCAGCTATATTCAAGACTATATATTAATGTTTGTAACAAATTTTAAATATCTTATATTATGCAGTAATTAGTATCAGATTATAAAGTGGACTTATTTCCAGTTGTAACGTTACTTTTCGTTACATTATCTATACATTGTTTACGAACGTGAAGATTTTCATTCTTTTTCAAATCTTTTTCTAGATCTTTAAACTTTGCTTCTAATCGCTTAGAATACGATTCTAGCTTATAAGCTGCTTGCTCTAATTTATTGACACTGTCATCAATTTGATCAATATTCTCCAATATAGGCCGTAAATTTTTATATTTTTCATTTAAAGAATCCAATGATATTGAAACGTTTGACGATATTGTCTTTAATTCTGTATACTTAGCAATAGTCTCTTTATTTAGCCGTTCCAGTAAACGATAATCAGCATGAGTAGCGGTGAGTTCTTCTTGTAAATACTCACCAGTTTTTTGAAACATTGTATTAGCTAAACGACTTAAATTTGGATCATGAGGATCAAGAGCTTCAAAACTACTGGTACTAGTTGAAAGTGTTGTACCACGTTTCGGCGATTCACATCTAGAATTTCCATCTGTCATTGAGCTTTCCATCTGTGCACACACAGATTGTGTCATTTCTTTTGACGGTTTATTTATTGTTGTCATTTTGATTATTTTGTTTATATTTCGTATCACTTGGAATGAAACTTGTTAAATTAACAGCCAACTGTAATTTCGATGAATACTTTGTTCTAACAAAAGTGAAAAATATTTTTTAATGTTAAAATCAAATAGACACTTCGATATTAATTCTTTTCCTAACCTCAATTGTGTCACATCGAGAGAGAAACATTTATCTGTACTCGTACATTACAATCTGACGCAATTTACACGTCAAGCTAATGCTATATAATAATTACTATTTATAACAGTCGATTTATTGTACTTTTTGTATTTATTTATTTGTTGTATTTACATCGGGTTAACTACGCGAATATTTCTGAAAAACAACTCAATTTATAGTTGACGATAAAATCAACTATTGTTAACTAGTTATTATTTTTATTAAAAATTTGCAATATTATTTAAAAATAAAGAATAATAACAGTGTAACTTTATCGAACAATGAAAATTCTCTAAATTAATTCGTATTTTTAAGTAATATAGGTTGTTTCACTCTAATTAACATGAATAGCAATATATACATCGAGCAAAAAATGTCGATGTGTATTGATTTGTAATATATATATGTATCCATAACTTCGGTTTAATCTAGAGCAATTTAATTCGAAATTTGTTGAAAAGGATCTTAAATAATTGTAATATATCCTGAAAATGTGAATGCCACGTATAACATTAGAAGAAAATTCTTGATCTTTTTCTGAATAATTGCAAATCTGCCATTTACTTAAAATATCCAATCAAATCGAAGTAATAAAAATGACATTTTAAATTTTAAATCTGATTGGTCGGACTTCTGTAATATTTTATTTCGTTTTAGTAAGAACGACAATAAAAGACCAATAGATAATAAGGAAAGTTACATAGGTATTTTATTTGAAAAATATTATTGGAATGTTTGGAGAGAGAGAGAGAAAAAATACATAAAGGTTGATACGCGTAGTCCCGACACAAGAAAACAGGACTGAAGGTTGCTTTCTTGAAGAAATAGTGGAAACACTCCTAGTGGCGGCGCGCCGCTGGAATATAGTGTTGCGGTTTTTCTTGTGCGGAAATGTGAACATTTTTGGAGTACAAGGGGAAATTCAAAGGCGATTAGCGTGTGCCGTTGGTCGACGGTGAAAAGGGTCAGAAGGTAGGTTGAATTCAATGATAGTTTCTGTCAAAAAATCATTTAAACAGAGATGACACTCGTACTTTGAAGCGTTATACATATACGATACCGTATCTCTACAGGCCTGCCAGTTGCGACATGGCGGGTTTTCGAGAAGAGGATAAAGCACTCTTCCCGATCCAAAGCATATCCTCGATCGTCCAGATCTTCCAAAATCAGCTGGAAAATAGCTCTGAGCCAGACCTCGCGCTACTTTCAATCCTCGTCGGTGCTGTTGAGAATTCCCTAACCTGTAACCGGACATTTACGCCGCAGGAGAACACTGTTTACGACGAGCCTAAATTGCCGGCCGTCGAGTATCATATAGCTGAAGCGTTATATACAAAGTTTCATGCTGTTATCAAAGGAGCTGTCGATTTAACAGTTTACGACACCAAATATGCTACGAGAGAGCTTATCAAGAAAGTTTCGGACGTTATATGGAACTCCTTAACGAGAAGCTACTACAAAGATCGAGCTCATCTACAGAGTCTCTACAGTTATCTTACTGCTAACAAATTAGATTGTTTTGGAGTGGCTTATGCAGTAGTTGCAGGGTGTCAGGTGTTAGGATTTAAAGATGTTCATCTTGCCATGTCAGAGGACCATGCATGGGTTGTATATGGAGAGCATGGTTCTGAAACTGCAGAGGTTACATGGCACGGTATGTTTTATTTGTATTATAATTCTATTTTCGTAGAAAGATTTATTGTCCTGTCATAATAGTATTTCATTTAAATGTTGTCTGAGCTCAGTTCAAAGAACTGAATAATAGAAATAGATCAATTGGTTTAATGTGTGTGGTGCAAATTATTCTAAGAATGCCCACATCCAATTGTTCAAGCATGCTACTTTCAATATTAGGGAAGGGAAACGAGGATAAACGTGGGCAACCCGTTGAACCTGGTGTAGCTTCTCGATCGTGGTTGTATGTAAATGGTCAGGCAGTTGTATGTTCTCGTGCTATGGAAGTTGCCACAATAGTATCTGCTATAAATCCTAGTCTAAGTGCGACAGCTGATGCAGCAGAAGTAGCATTGCTCCAACAAGAATTATTATGGTTACTCTATGATTTGGGTCATCTTGCAAAATATCCTATGGCGCTTGGCAATTTGGGTGATTTAGAAGAGGCAGCACCAACGCCAGGAAGACCCCCAGCAATAGATTTATTTCAGGTTGGTTTCAAATTTCTCCTAACAAATTTTTTAATAAAACATGCAAGAGGAAATATCATCGAATTTCATTATTATAGGAAGCCGTAAGATGTGCCAGAAAGTATTATGGTAATGCACACGTTTATCCATATACTTATCAAGGTGGATATCTCTATAGACATGGATTACATGCTAATGCTCTAGCGTCTTGGTCTGATGCTGCAGACGTATTGAGAAAGTAAGTTTTTATTTAGACGGTTTCCTTCAGAAATATATACATACACACACATATATACAGATATCTATATATATTACATTTAAAATAGTTTCTCTTGTTCTCTAGACACTTTTTTAATGTTAATTGATGTGCGACAGATACGACTATTCGCGGGACGACGGAGAAATATATAAGGAATTATTGGAAATCGCCAACGAATTAATACCTCACACGGTAAGGGCCGACGAGCGACTGTTACGACAGCCACGATGTTTCGTCTACCTTCTAAGATTTTACGACGGTATTTGTCAATGGGAGGAAGGGGCAAATACTCCTGTTCTGCACATAGGTTGGGCACGACCATTAGTGAATACAATTTCTAAATTCGATGCTTCGATTCGTGCTCAGGTTGTCATTGAGTGTTACGATATGGAAACAAAGCAAGAGGAAGAGAAGATGCAAAAGAGAGAAACCAGTCCCGATGAGACTCTTAACAATAATAATAATAATTATTGTAAAACGAAGGAGAGAGGTAGTGCTGCACGCGATTTAATCAAAAGTTTAGAGTCTAAAGTACCGGCCAATCCAGCACCGATGCATCCCAGTATTCAAGCATTGACAGCTGCTTGCAGTGAAAAAATCCTCAATAGAGATTATTTACTGCAAGGTGGTGGCGAACCTTTCGTCGCACCTCCTGAAGATGCCTTACCGCCAGCACCATCAACATCTCAGGAAAGTCTAGATCCCGAAGAGGAGGTAGATTCGGAAAACGAAAGGCCAAGAATAACGTTGTACAGTCAGAAAATGAAGGGCCTCAAGGATCTTCTGTTAGCTGAGAAATTAAACACGCATGCTATTTCGTTGCAATTAACCGCACAAAGTCAGGTACAAATAGGTAAGAAGTCACGCGGTAGCGACGAGGTAGGAGTCAACCAACGTCCCAAAAGGACGCGACGGGACTAGTATAAGATCTTTGACCACCGTTTTGGTTTGGTTAAGTATTGAACAACACGTTAACTCCGTTCTATATTTCGTCTTTTATGAACGACGAAGAATAACGGGAAACGTGATTAAAAATACATAACGGTGGTCTATACTTGCCGGCGAAATGAATGAAAGAAAGAAAAAAAAAAGAAGAAACAGAAATTAGAAGGAAAAAGTCTTCGCCCTAATAGTTTCCTTTTTTTTTTTTTTTTTTTTTTTTAATGAATTCTCGAAGTGTTGAAAACCCTTCCTCGAAGATCTTGAGTAGTTTCTCGAATGAGAAAAATCGTAATGATTTCTCCGTGGTTGGCTTTTGAACATTCTCTCATTTAAACTTCGAGACGATGGGAACTTTGTCGTTTTAGAGATAGGTATAGTAGATATGAACAAAATTTATAGAAAAGTACAAAAAAGTTCTCCCCCATCCCACCCTTTTTATTTAAGTTAAATACCAATAATCGCGGGTACTTGAGTATTTGAGTCTTCGTGAAAAGAAAAGAAAAAAAAGAGATAAAAACGAAGGTATTTTACACGCCTTAGACGCGTGTATTCTTTCATTCTTCCACGGTGTTAGAAAAAAAAAGTAAAAGTAAAAAAGAACAAAACAAAAAGAAAAGAAAAATAAGAAATAGAAATCTTTCCTTATTGCACGGTGAAGAAAAAGAAGAAAAAAAAGAATTAATCGAATATCGTACCTAATCCTATTATTATAGGAAATTCAGATTTTTTCCTTCAGTACGATTATTTATTCTATTAACGACATTATGATTTATCGATGCGCGAATCGATCGATATTCGGTATTCGTCGTTTCTTATATGTCTAACTTTCTTGTTGCACTCTTATTTATTGATTCACGTTTTTTCTATTGAAGCTATTGCACTATGAATGATTACAATTGACAAGTTGTCGTTAATGTTTTTTAAATAGTAGTTGAAACTTTTGTTAGAATTACGCTTCTATGGTCTAGTAAGAGAAACCACACATTCCACTCTGTACGTGGTGCAAACTAATTAAGTTTTACCTAAGGTATTTTAAGCATAAAATGCTCGCTTATTTTTATAACTATTTATTTTCAGAAGTAATTATAAGTACCTATTCGTAGTACTCCGTTTGGCTATTTTTCGATAGGGTAGGACGAACATAGATACGGTGCGCTATATCTACGGTTTGATCTATATTCGATTATTCGTATATTCGAAATATGTTTTAATTATGGAGAAATTTTAAATACTTGCGACAAAATTTCCACACATAAACGATGAATGATGATAATTTTTATTCTTAAAATCTTTACTCTTCGTCGTGTTTTATAAATTTGATATATGTATATATATATATACATATACACGCGCTCGTCGTCGCAAGTCAAATTAATATATTATCCGGCAGCTTATAGCAGCTGACGATTTTTATTATTAATTTAACGAATTATATTTTAAATCTTTTTAATTTTTTATTATTGATAATATTATTATTATTTTTATTATTGGTTTTCTTTGTTTTTATATCTATTGTGACATTATTGACTTTTCCGTAGTGCTAACGTCACACGTTTCTTTGTTTATTTTTTGTTTATTTTTTATTTTTTAATTTTATTTTTAACGCGTAATATTATGGTCATAGTGGCATGACCCGAATCATTTTATCGAACACAGTACCTTCCTAACAGTACTATATTATTAGTTTCTCCTATCCTAATTACCTCGAATCTTGATGGATATTGCGGATATCCAAGTACGTAATAAATAATCGCATCGACTTTGATGTTAAGAAAACGAAAATGAAGAAAGAAAGGTAAAAAAAAAGAAGTAAACGAAAAAGCAGAAATATGACTAAAGAATTATTTGACAATGTTTAGACAGGTTGTTGTAGAGTACGTTGTTGACAGGATGAATATAAATGGTTCGAGCAGATCGACGATCACTTAAATAATGAAAGGCGCTATCTTACTGTGATGCTGAATATATACTATATAAATATATATATATATAAATATGAATATATATATATATATATAATTATACAATTAATAATCGTAATAACTAACAGGCACCCTGACAATTGCAGAATTTGTTCTCTCACTTTCGTGGAGAAAAAAGGAAAATTCTCTGCGTCGTGCTGAATTATTAAAATGAAATAAGAAAAAATAAATAAATGAATAAATAATAACAACAGCAAACATGCTAATAATAAAAAAAAAATTAGAAATGATTACAATAACAATGTAATTATTGCGGAAACGTGAGATATCGATATTCGACGTGATATCAATTATGTCGTCCGTCGATCGTCTGCCGTGCTTGCCGCAGCTAAAATCGATCTTTTTGGGTGTATGTATATATACACATTTTTTTATATCTTTCTTTCGTTTTCTTTTTTCTTTCTCCAAATGAAAAATAGTATGTATACGTATATATGTATATATTTATCGTTCTTGGTGCATAAGTTAGGATCGTACCCTTTTAGCAGGCGACGCACGTCAGAATCAACGGCATGTTTTTTCTCTGACACTGTATCGATGCATATTTCTCCTAACGTTTATCGAAAGTTAACATATAAAAAAAAAAAAGAAGAAAAAAAGAAAGAAAAATTAAAAAAAAAATCACAATGGAAGTAACGTGCGTGTTACGAGTTAAAAAAAAGAATACATGCGTATAGTCATCGCACGCTCGTATATGTATATATATTTATATGGATGTTATACATTTACGAGAGAGTTGATCGCTTGTTTTCTTTCAATTTCTTCTTATCATCGTTTTTTATATATGTATATGTATATATGATTTACTTGGCAGATGCAAGTTCGATTTTTTCATTTCCCTATTTATCAGTAATTGAGAAAAACAAAAAAAAAAAGAAGAGAAGAAATATTGTTCGTTTTATCTAAACCATCAATGAATTATATTTTTTGATAAATCACATAAAATATTCTTCGTTTAATCGTAAAACTTCTTTCGTCGAAAAAAAAAGAAAAGAATGGGGAAAATAATAATAAATAAAGGTATAAAAAAATAGAAAATTAAGAGAACTTATGATAAACGAATTGTAAATCTTCTTTTCTGCGCCATTTACTAATGACGCGTATGCGTATCTAGTATTTTTTGTTTTTATTTTTATTTTCGTTTTCATTTTCATTTTTATTTTGATGATATAAAAAGAGCGATTTTTAAAGAAGACTACAGGGATTATTATGCATAATTATAGGAATAGTAAGAGAAGAATTATGGTGCAACAGAACAGTATTTTTATATTAGCGGGGGCGCGGATTTGTCCTCTTCTCAACTTATTATTGGTAATATTTGAACGTAGAGTCAGATGATTATTGCGCGACATTTTCTTATTGATCTACGTAGAATGGAGTTGTGCGTTAAAAAAATTATAAAATACAAAAGTAAAGAAAATTTGAAAAAGAAAAAAAGAAAAAATCGCTCGTGATGCGCGAATCAGTGCTGAATGATAATGATGATTATGATAATTATTATACCGATTATGATGATGAAAATGATGATTATGATGGTGATGATTATGATAATGATGATAATGGTGATGATGATTATGATGGTAGTAATGATGATGGTGATGATGATTATGATGACGGTGGTGGTAATGATGATTATGATGATTATATGATTATTTATTGATAAATTAATTCTTAAGAAAAGTTCGTAACACGATTCGTAAATGTTTATAAAACTATTATATGTATATTATCGAGCATTTCGATTACAGATGAATTAATATTATTCGCTGGCAAAACTCGAGGAAAGGAAGGATAAGAAGAAAGAGTGTTCTTGGTAATACGCGCACGAAGGATGGATTATTAATGAATACGATAAAATAGAAAAAGAAAGAAGAAGAAGAAAAAGAGATCTCCGATCATCGTCTTTTCGCTCTCTCAAAAGAAAAGAGAAAAGAAAAAATATTCACGGACAAATAATTCATTTTCCTGTAGTGCTTTTTGATTTTCGATTTTCGTTCGGAGAAAATATTAACAAAGCCTTCGAAAATGTGTTATTTGAAATTAAGGAAAACAAAATAATTACTAACATACGCAAAAAAAAAGAAACACATTATTTACATACACTACATTGTAAAACACACTAGTTTAATATCTATTTTTTTTTTCCTACTCCTCTCTTTCTCCCTCTCCTCTCTATATTTTTCACGTATCAATTTACTATCTTATTCCGTATGTATTTGCAATGTTATTACGATGAACAAGAGAAACCATTTTCTAATGTAAACCTTTTTCTAATCTTTATCCATGTTTATCCTGTATTGTTTAAACAATATACACTCACGATGCTATCTTGCCTTTAAGTTTTATCATGACTTCGAGTCATAGTTCGTAAGAGTAGGTTTTGCCATGTGCGCTAAAAAAAATAATTCAATAATTAAAAAGATACAAGTCCGAAAAAATGATTGTTCTCCATCCATCCTCCGTAGGAAGAAAAAAATGATAATAATATTAATAAAAATATATATAAAAGAACAATTGATATCGCACGATCGAGTATAATATCTGCTATCATAAATGAAATTTTACCTACCATGGTAGTGCCATAACAAAACGATTGTATACTTCGAATGCGTCTGTAATTGTTAATTGTACATACATACATATACGTATCGTACGAAATTTTCTCAGCAAAATAGTCTTTCGTTTTTTTCGTTCTGCAAACTATTCCAACACCTCCGCTATATTATTTTTTTAGCGCACAAGAGTATTAAGATTTATTTAACCCTCTATAACGCGCACTATGATTATCATATATCCGTATTATATTATATAGTTCTTTTTTTTTTCCTTTTTTTCACTGAGATTTTATTTTTTATAGTAAGTTTTTTGTAACATACGAAAATGCAACGAAACATTTCCGTAGCAATGAAACATACAATTATTAAAATTGACATCGATAATTTTATATATATAGAATATAAATAGTTTGCCAACGGTGCTCTTAAATAATTTGCATTTTTATTAGTTATAGAGGGTTAAATTAATATATCGAGCTGATCCATCTATCATTGTTATTTTGGATCATCGTGCTCGATCAGTCGACAATGAGCGATTTGGTATTATGCAATGTGCGTGATCTCGAGGACTTGGATAGATTTATGCATATGATTAAATAAATACAGAACAAAATAAGAAGAAAGATAGTTATCTCTAAGGCTTCCTACATAAGAAATCGTATCTCGTTATGTTTCTTAGCTATTATACTATATTTTTTCTTATTTAATTATAACTCTCAGTCAGCTCTTATCGAATTGTAAATGAAAAAGAAACGTTATGCTATTCCGACGTCGACAGAGCCTACGAATATTTTTGCTCCGAAAATTAAATATATATAAAGGAATGAAAAAAAAAATATATCCCAGTTCCAAGAGATATTCGCTGTCGACGATTATTATCTCTTAACGTAGACATTTAATAATCGATAAAAGATTATCGTCCACTTCCACGGAAATGTATTAACAAGATATATATATACATATATATATGTATGTATGTATGTATGTATATATTTGTGTATTTAAAAAAATGCTATTGTAGTAAAATTAAGTCCATAACACAACTATACGTATGATCTGACCATAACTTGGCAACGCATATAGATATGTAAAAAAAAAAAGCAGAAAATACGTAACAGACATACGCACACACATACACGTATTCAAACGATTTCGCATGTACTTAAAAAGAAAAAGAAGATAGTAAATGATTCTGTTAACGCCTTCGAACAGATTTATTTGAAATGTATCAAATATATTAGCGATACTTAAAGTATGAAGAACAAACGAAAAAAGAGGGTGTGCGAGATATTGATTCGAAAGAAAAATATTGAAATTTGTAAGTTTAAGAAAAAAATAAAAAAAAATTATACAGATATATATATAAATATATATATATATATTAGTTGAAGAACAGCAACGTTCAAAGCGTTACGAATAAATATCGAATTTGGTATTAATATTGGAAACAGTATTTTGCGTACTCACTAATAATCATATTAGACATAAATAATTCTCAAAAACATTTTTATATTTGACTTTTCGAGAATTGCAACATATATCTTCTATATTTTCAAAACCGAGGAGAAGAGATAAGAAAAAAGATAATAACAATAATAACGCGGGGACAAATGAAACGTCGTTGAATCGAAATATTTCGCAAGAATGACTTTTCTCCACTTTCTCTCTCTCTCTCTCTCTCTCTCTCTCTTTCTCTCTCTCTCTCTCTCTCTCTCTCTCTCTATCTTTCTATCTATCTCTCTCTCTTTCTCTCTTTATCTATCTCTCTCTCATTTCCTTTTCTTTCTCTTTCTTTCTATCGACGATTGTACGATCATTGATATAAATCAATAACTGTTATTTGTAAGAATGTCATTTAAAAATAAAAATATCAAAAGAGAGAAAAAAGAAAAAAGAAAGAGAGAAGAGTACACATTACTAATATGATATATTATACTACTCACTTCGATATTCCGTGTTGATAGACACGTACAGGACGAATCAGAAAAATGTAAACGCAACTATTGTTGATTGACAGAACAGTGAGTTTTAAAAGGCATGGTAGAAATGTCGTGTTTTTTTCTGTGGATTACAATAAACTATTTTATTCTAATTCTCCTGCGCTTATAATAACTGTTTACTTTTACCTTTTTATTGGCTATTTTCCTTCTATTTTTCTTCTTTTTTGTTCCTGCGAAAATAAACTCTTACAATTAGATATGTCCCAATGAGTATATTCCTCTAAAGTATTATGATATCTAGTGATCTTTTTTAGAAAAATGCAGAGAAAACTTAATTTGATTTTTAAGGGGACAGATTTTTGACTCATAAATTCACCTAATTTGCTCTAATCCTTTAACAAGGATGATAAATTTTTCAAAAATCTTTAATGGCTAGAAGGGTAAAATGATTATATCTATTATTCTAAGAGCCTTTTAATTTTTTTTACATCTATTTTTGGACTCAATAGTTTATCGGAAAATACATTTCAAAATTTCACATACAATAAAATGCAAATTCGATTTAAAAAAAATAATTATTAAATTTCCTTATAAAATTTATCTTATAAGATGTTCAATTTTTAAATCGCGGATTTTTATGCAATATTCTGAATTTTAAATATCTTCCTTAAAAAAACTCCAAAATAGTGACACTCATTGTCAGACGATCTGGCGGATTATTTAATAAGATAATTAACTAAATGATCGGTATTTATAAAATAGATTAAAGTAAACAAAGTGTAATTTATTATGAAATTGAATTAAAGAAGAAATAACAGGAAGTATTACATATAATTTTTAAAAATTGGATTACAATTGTTACGCTATTTATATATTATAAAAATAATGTGGTTTTTATATATATAAATATTTATATTAATATATAATATTATATCTTTAACAAATGATGTTAATATCAATTTTATTGTAATTGATCAATCAATGTAATTGAATCTCCCAAGTGTACATTTTTTCTAAAAATTCAATTTAAGTCAAGTACAATTGTTGCAAAAATATAAGTAAAATATAGATATAATAGTATAAATAATATAAAAATACTAAAAATTACTAAATACAATAATAAGCATATTTTTATATTCATAAATACGATGGAAATATTAATAGATACGTTCAGAAGATTTCAATCTTACAGAAGATAAAGGGCTTTAAGTAGCATTTTTTTTTAAATTGTGGTTGACTTTGCGTTTCTTGTTGTATCTGTATTTCTATTTCTGTTTTTGTTTTTCTTCTGGTTTCTATTTCTGTATCTGTTTCAATATTATTAATATTGAGCGTAGGTTTAGTAATATTCGTTTGATAAGAGAATTCATGAATTTTTATTTCACTTACTAATAGGAAAAACAATTTTGACTGTGTCTCATAGTATTTGAAGTCTAACTTTTTACTCACATTTAAAACGTATGTCAAAAAATCGAAAAATTGCAAATTTACGCGTGTATATTTTTTTTCATCGCAAAATAGAACAACAGTTTTTATGAGTTGAGTTCCTGTGCCTTTCCGCGTATAATCATTATGAACAAGGAATTTATTTAACAAAGCACAATTTCTTAATCTAACATTTTCGTCCACTCCAATAAAACCTACTATTTTCTTATCATAATCGGATATATTAATATTAGATTTTTGTAATTCTGTTTCGGTTAACCTTGTATAACGCAAATATGGTCGAAAGCACTTTAACGAACGATAGTAATATGCTTCAGCTACCCAAAAACATTTGTCACCATTTACGTTGCAATTCCTATTTTAAAAACAAATATTTCTTTTTAGAGTATAATTTTAACTAAAGAATAATTGACTTTAACAAACAATGCAAGTAAATCGAAACAAACAACAACAAAATATTAAAACTATAATACCGTGTAGCATTAAATATTTCTTTTTGTGGATCTTGAACTATTTTCCAGAATAGCAGATATAGAATAATATAAACCGCAAATGCAATAATAAGCGGATATATTAAGTAATAAGGAAAAGAAATATCAGACCAGTATAAATTGCAAGCAAACAAAGTAAAAAAACTTTGAAAAAAATAACTTGTAATCGTAAGATTACAGTATGTCGAATTCAATAAAGCAATAAAACCACTTGCAGCTAGTTCTTTGCAATACGGTTCATCTTCTTGTTTATAAGGTTGAATACAAAGAAGATTTTCCATGCTTATATCTTGTATTAAACACTTACTATCAACTGAATACACGAATATAAATATATTTATAATGTCTTTTTTTAAAAAATAAGATCATTAGTAGCTGTATATACTATTCTAATTCAATTTCTAACTGAAATCATGCTACATAAATATATCTATTTATAAGAAAGTCACGTCCTTTGATATTTGATAATAATAAATTCTCGATATTGTAATCGTTTATATCTCTCAATATATTCAATTAGGAAAATTTTGCAACGGAAAAAAACAAAATTATATAAAGTAAAGGATTAATTAACGACATTATATACAAACAAATTATTCAATAGCATATTATTTTATTTACATTATTATGATTAAATACATTGGATGTTAATTATAAATTTTGTATTTGTTACAGTTGTAGGTTACAGTTGTCAATTGAGTAGATTATGATTATTAATAATAAGTGAACGCAGATCGTTAATTTAAACAAAAATTATTATGAAACACTTATTTATTTTGTACGCTTTTTTCAGTGTTGTCATATGTATTAATTTAATTTTATTTTTTTTTTGTAAAATGACATTAAATGTCAAATAACATTAAAGATGTTTCTTGTTTAAGGAATCGTAGAAAACAAGTCAGTAACATTTATTTTCAATATCATATGCTTTTATCGTCAGAAAAAAAGTATATATCTGGAAAATAATTGCTATCGAATCAGTAAGGCTTCTTATTGTATACAGTGTGCGTTAAAAGAAGCAGGAAACYTGAATAGTTGTGTYAAATTTACCGATTCKTATAGTMACAGAATTGAATARTTTCAAAGGACGCATATTGTTATCGAAATCTCATTCTTTGAAATATCAATTTTTCGGTGTTTTTACAGTTACTAACATCTTATTTAATAGAATTAAATTTTTGTTTCTTATGCATAATTGTAGTCGAGTAAATTCTAAATTACTAGGATCGTTTAACACAATACGATCTCGAAATAACATTGAATCTCGAAATGTGAAATAAATAAAATTCAGCTTATAAGGCTTTTTTCTTTAATTTTTCTACGCTAAATCTTCAAAATAATTTCCGTTTATTTTGATATATTAATTTAACTGAAAAATAGCAGAATTTACAAATGATGTTTCGCTTAAGAATCATGAGCACATAAATTTAAGAAATTTGTCTTTTCGGCTTTCTGAAAATCTTCCCGATAGTGATAACGATGCGAATAATCCAATCTACTAGGACAAAATGAAATATTTTTCAGATAATCAATTTTATAATATAATGAATTTTAATTGTTCGCGACACATTAATCTATTCAGCAATTAAACAATCGTCTTTTTTATCTTCGCTAAGCCTTTACACAACGTATTCTGTGCGAATAGAAGCGCGGGATTCTGAAATTATATTTTTCTAATGCGTACTTACGAAATCATGTATATAAACTTTTTCGTATTATTTGACGTTTAATTAATTTACACTTCCGCAGGCTTATTAATAGCATACATCGGGTTTTTAATTTTCTAATATCCTTAAAACGGTGGATAAATTTCTGAATCTTCCAACGTGATTTTCTTAAGCTAATAAGTGAACAATATTACTGAATTTTACTTAAATTTATCTAATCAATTGTTTTCCTACTAACAGAACAAGAATATTTGGTAAATATTTAAGATAGATTAAAGTAAACAAAGTATAATTTATTAGGAAATTTAGTAATAGAAGAAATAATAGAAATATATAAAATGAAATATTAATAATGTAAATACACGTAAAAACGATAGATATGACTATTATTATTTTTTATATATGAATATATTATTTAAAAAAAAAAAAACAGTTTTGAATTTAAATATATATTATTAAAGTATTTGTCTACTTAGAATAATACATAAAATTTAAATAACAGAATTTTTTAACAATAAGATTTTTAGGCAATTCTAATATTATATAACAGTAAATATCAATATCGTTATCTTGAGCTAAATAAGGCGAAGAAATCCGTATTAATAGATTACTGAGTCTAATTTATATAATATTGTTTTTTTTTCAATAAATTATATATTCTTCCAAAACTTATGTTAAGTCAAAGACGGAGTAAAGATATTATAAAATTTAAATCACAAACACAAACACAAACAAAAAACTAACATTCTAAGTTAAAAATAAACAAGAAAAATGCTGTAAATAACCATATATAATAATAACTACTATTTCATAAAATACTATTCAAAGATTAAGGTATTTTATAAAATAATATAAAATTTAAAAATTTAAATGTCTTAAGAAGCGTCTTTTCTGTATTTGTGTTACACTTTTTGTTGACATTTGTTTGTTGATTTTAATACTATCTGTAGGTCTAGTAACTTGCGTTAGGTAGGAGAATTCATGCATTTTTACTTCCACTAATAATGGAAAAAAAATTTTTGACTGTGTTTCATAGTATTTGAAGCCTAATTTTTTACTTAAATTTATAGCGTTTGTCAGAAATTCGAAAAATTGCAAATTCACGCGTGTATATTTTTTTTCATCGCAAAATTGAAGAACAGTTTTAATGAGTTGAGTTCCTATGCCTTTCCGCGTATAATCATTATGAACAAGGAATTCATTTAACATAGCACAATTGTTAATTCTAACATTTTTATTCACTCCAATAAAGCCTACTATTTTCTTATCATAATCGGATAAATTAATATTAGATTTCTGTAATTCTTTTTCTGTTAACCATGTATAACGCAAATATGGTTGAAAGTTTTTTACAAAACGATAATGATATGCTTCAGCTACCCAAAAACATTTGTCACTCTTTGCGTTGCACTTCCTATTTTAAAAACAAATATTTCTTTTTTGAGCATAATTTTAACTAAATAATAATTTCCTTAAATAAGTAAAAGAAAATAAATCTAAACAAAAAACAAAAACAAAAAAATAATAAAAAAAATAATACCGTGCAGCATCAAATACTTCTTTTTGGGATTCTTGAACTATTTTCCAGAATAGTAGATACAGCATAATGTAGATTCCACATGTAATTATTAATGGATACATTAAGAAATACGGAAAAGAAGTACTCGACCAATATAACTGGCAAGAAGAAAGCGCGAGAAGAATTTGAAAACGATTTTTTGCAATTATAAAATTAGTGTATAACGGATTCAATAAAGTCATAAAAGTACTTCTAGCTAGTTCTTTGCAATACGGTTCATCTTCTCGTTTATAAAGTCGAATACAAAGAAGATTTTCCATGTTTATTTCCTATATTAAAATCTTCGTATCAGCTATATACACAACTGTAAATGTATTTATAATGCTTATTTAAACAAACAAATTTTATTTTTATATAACTTGTTTAACGCGTATTTTTATGATAAATAAGATTGATAGTAGCTGTATATATTATTCTAATTCAATTTCTAACTGAAACTATACTACATACATAGATCCATATATATATATATATGTATATATAGAGGGCATGTCATTCGATATAAGTAAATAATAAATTGTTTATATTTAAAATGTTTATGTATAGAATAAATACATTTTCAATTTTAAAAGTCTTGCAACGGAAGAAAACGATATTATTTCAAGAGAAAAATGAATTAATGATGTTTTTTGAATGTAAATAATTAAATAGCATTTTTTTAACTTCTAATAATATTACGATTAAACACTTTAGATGCTATTTATAATTTTCTTATCTGTTAAGTTAAACAAAAATTATTATGAAACAGTTATTTATTTTGTACGCTATTTTCAGTGGTGCCATATCTATTAATGTAATATAATTTTTTTTTGTAAAATGACATTAAGTGTCAAAAAACATTTAAGATGTTTCTTGTTTAAGGAATCGTAGAAAACAAGTCAGTAACATTTATTTTCAATATCATATGCTTTTATCGTCAGAAAAAAAGTATATATCTGGAAAATAATTGCTATCGAATCAGTTAGGCTTCTTATTCTACACAGTGTGCGTTAAAAGAAGCAGGAAACCTGAATAGTTGTGTTAAATTTACCGATTCTTATAGTAACAGAATTGAATAGTTTCAAAGGACGCATATTGTTATCGAAATCTCATTCTTTGAAATATCAATTTTTCGGTGTTTTTACAGTTACTAACATCTTATTTAATAGAATTAAATTTTTGTTTCTTATGCATAATTGTAGTCGAGTAAATTCTAAATTACTAGGATCGTTTAACACAATACGATCTCGAAATAACATTGAATCTCGAAATGTGAAATAAATAAAATTCAGCTTATAAGGCTTTTTTCTTTAATTTTTCTACGCTAAATCTTCAAAATAATTTCCGTTTATTTTGATATATTAATTTAACTGAAAAATAGCAGAATTTACAAATGATGTTTCGCTTAAGAATCATGAGCACATAAATTTAAGAAATTTGTCTTTTCGGCTTTCTGAAAATCTTCCCGATAGTGATAACGATGCGAATAATCCAATCTACTAGGACAAAATGAAATATTTTTCAGATAATCAATTTTATAATATAATGAATTTTAATTGTTCGCGACACATTAATCTATTCAGCAATTAAACAATCGTCTTTTTTATCTTCGCTAAGCCTTTACACAACGTATTCTGTGCGAATAGAAGCGCGGGATTCTGAAATTATATTTTTCTAATGCGTACTTACGAAATCATGTATATAAACTTTTTCGTATTATTTGACGTTTAATTAATTTACACTTCCGCAGGCTTATTAATAGCATACATCGGGTTTTTAATTTTCTAATATCCTTAAAACGGTGGATAAATTTCTGAATCTTCCAACGTGATTTTCTTAAGCTAATAAGTGAACAATATTACTGAATTTTACTTAAATTTATCTAATCAATTGTTTTCCTACTAACAGAACAAGAATATTTGGTAAATATTTAAGATAGATTAAAGTAAACAAAGTATAATTTATTATGAAATTACATTACAGAAGAAATAACAGGAACTATGAAATATATCATAATTTAAAAATATGAAATGACAATTGTTACGTTATGTATATTAAATTTTAATAGTACTATTAATGAATAATAAAATTTATCACTATGCATTTTTAACATAATAATAATAATTAATGCAGTTTTCTTAGGTTAAATAAGACGACTAAATCCATGTTTACATATCGATGAATATATATTATGGGTAAATAATTATTTTTGAAATATGTTATAATTTTATTTTCCAATTATAAATTATTTTTGATTATTCAAGTTAAGTCAAATATAAATGTTAGGCAAATAAATAAAATGTGAATATATAAAAGTATAAATAACAAAACACGGAAATTAACATTATAAGTTAAAAAATTCCTAAATAAATACTGTAAATTACTAGATTAAATTAAAAATATTGTTTATATTCGTATACACAAGAGTGAAATATTTATAAATGAAAAATGTAAATTTTGTGTAATTTTTAGTGCTTAAAATCAAGTCTTTTTTATTCGGGTGTTCGTGTTTCTGTTTGACTTTGTGAATGTGTTTTAATATGGAGTGTAGATTTAGCAAAATTTGTTAGGTATGAGTACTCATATATTTTTACTTTTCTTAACATTGGAAGAAAAGATTTTGGCTGTGAGTCGTAGTATTTAAAGCCCAATTTTTTACTCAAATTTATAGCGTATGTCAAAAAATCGAAAAATTGCAAATTTACGCGTGTATATTTTTTTTCATCGCAAAATAGAACAACAGTTTTTATGAGTTGAGTTCCTATGCCTTTCCGCGTATAATCATTATGAACAAGGAATTTATTTAACAAAGCACAATTTCTTAATCTAACATTTTTGTCCACTCCAATAAAACCTACTACTTTCTTATCATAATCGGATATATTAATATTAGATTTTTGTAATTCTGTTTCGGTTAACCATGTATAATGCAAATATGGTCGAAAGCACTTTATTGAACGATAGTGATATGCTTCAGCTACCCAAAAACATTTGTCACCATTTACGTTGCAATTCCTATTTTAAAAACAAATATTTCTTTTTAGAGTATAATTTTAACTAAAGAATAATTGACTTTAACRAACAAAGCAAATAAATTTTAAAATTATTATACCGTGTAGCATCAAATATTTCTTTTTGGAAATCTTGAACTATTTTCCAGAATAGCAGATATAGAATAATATAAACCGCAAATGCAATAATAAGCGGATACATTAAGTAATAAGGAAAATGAATATCAGACCAGTATAACTTGCTAGCAAACAATGCAAGAAGAATTTGAAAACGAAAACTTGTAATCATAAGATTAGAGTATATCGGATTCAATAAAGCCATAAGAGAACTTTTAGTTAGTTCCTTGCAATAAGGTTCATCTTCTTCTTTATAACGACGAATATAAATAAAATTATCCATGCTTATTTCTTATATTAAACACTTCGTATCAACTGAATACACGAATATAAATATATTAATATGTCTTTTTTTAAATAAAAAGTTTTTAATTTTAAATAATTTGTTTGAAGTCTTTTTTTTTAAATAAGATGATTAATAGATGTATACACACTATTCTAATTCAATTTCTAACTAAAACTATATTACATAGTTAGATCCATATATATATATATATGGAGGTCATGTCATTCCGTATACGTTAATAATAAATTGTTTATATTTAAAATAAATACATTTTCAAATTTGAAAATTTGGCAACGGAAAAAAGCGGTATTATTAAAATTGAAGGCTGACTTCTAAAGTATAGGATGAATTAATTAAATACATTTTTTAATACAAATTGTGTAATAGCATCTTATTTGGTTTGTGTTAATGTTACAATTAGATACATTTTAAATCATTTAAAAATTCTATAAGATCTACCAAAAAAGAAGGTAACCATCAAGATTTCTCTGAATTTTCATCCTCCTCGGGTTGGGCATCCAAATTTTTAGATGCCGACGAGTATTCAGAGGGCGTCTTCGAACAGATTTGTTTAAGAAGGAAGTAAATATCTTCCGGTGATATTTCCATCGCCAAAAGTTCTATTGAAATCCTAATATACGATGATAATATAATTATAGTTTAATATACGTTTTCTTTTTACTCAATTTGATCTCGATAAATTTACATATATATAAACAAAAAAAAAGAAATATAACACGAAATTTTACTTGTATAGGTTATACGAAATTGTTAAGAAATATATATTAAAAATATTACCGAAAAACACCAGGAGTCGCAGTAATTCCAGCTAAATCTGCGAGCGCAATTAATTCCGTTTGATGTGCCTGTGAGAACGTCATAATATTTACCAAACGGTGTAGCGATAAAGAATCATACGAATTTATTTTTGTTTACATACAATGCACATCACCAAAGAATACAGAAGTACATAGAAACTCACAAGTCCCCTTTTTTATCTACCTAGTTTCATTTTAGTTACTACCGGGACCACCAGTGAACAACAGTAGGTAAAATACTGTATACTTTGACAGTATTGTACAATCTTCACGTTAAATACATACTATCGCCTACTAGTGGTCCCAGTGGTAACAAGAATGATACTGGGTAGATAAAAAAGGGGACTTGTGAGTTTCTATATACTTCACCAGAAAAAAGTTGGCATAAAACCGCAACAACAGAAAAAAATGAAAAAATGAAAATATTTATCTATTGTTTAAACATTATGAACGATTAACTTATTACTTTTCACTACCTTATAGGTTGTTACTTTGGAAATCAACTTTAAATATAACCCCTGCAGGTATACCAACTTTACTTTCATTTTTTTCCAAGTGTACTTGCGCCTTGAATTTGTGGTTGCGCATGTGTATAACATATCTCCACTCATGACGTCGCAATTTCATAATTATTCAAAGTGTAGTAATTATTTTCAACTAATTAACGATAAATAAAAAATATTTGATAAAATAAAGTTGATCAAATAGTATGCAATTAGGAGCACTTATTTATTTTTTTCTGCTGTTAAGGATCCTGTTCAGCGTTCCTACGGTGGTAACACAACTAAATTTGAAATGATCTCGATAGATAAATCCAAATTTCGTAGTGTCTACCTTATCGATAGAAGTAAAGGTAATTCATTTTTGTAAGTTAATAAATTTTTAAATAGATAGCGTTGTATGCGACAGTACGATGTCAAGAATGATGAATGCACGACTTAGATAATAGATAATAATCATGGACGTTAGCAGCTGTCGATGGTGCATGTGAATTAACATAGAATTATTTTTCTGTAGTATAATTTGACAGATATTATATATATATATGCACATAATTGCAGTTTCTAAAGGCATTTAAATTATATGTTTATTATGTCTTAACAAATTTTCGTCCATCATTTGTATATGATCTTATATAAATTGTTTTTTAAAAGTTTTATGCCAAAAACGATTACAAACTTAATACAGGTTCTTTCAAGAATTAAAAATTAGAGTCATGAATATATTGTTATTTCTAAAAAGTTGAATTGTTATTATTTCGTATGATAGCAATTGGGTGAAAATGTGTTCTTTTAAATGGAGGTTACATTTATTCTTGTTATATGCAGTGATTTGGAGTAGTTGTGTGTTAGATTCATTTTGTTTAGAAGTGATATATGCAGTAAATGCTGGAGGTGAAGCGCATTCTGATAGTTATGGAATTCGTTATGCAAGAGACCCTTTAATGGGGAAAGTCGGTACTGCTTCAGACTATGGCAAGCAGTTACTCATTGGTCGTGTAAACAGCATAGATCAAATATTATATCAAACAGAGCGTTATCATCATAGTACTTTTGGATATGATATACCTATAAGCGAAGATGGAGAATATGTCATGATCCTAAAGTTTTGCGAAGTCTATTTTAATTCACCAAACATGAAAGTATGCCCAGGCTTTACTTTTTACATATTTATGACACAACTCTAAGTATAAGATATTTAATAATTAATGATTTAATTGTGTGCATTCATTTATGAGGTGTTCGATGTGGTATTGAATGGAGATCATACAGTAGTCACCGATTTGGACATTTTTGAAAGAGTGGGCAGAGGTATCGCACACGATGAATATATTCCATTTAAAGTGCAAGATGGAAAATTAATATACAATGATGAAGAATCTGATATATTAGCAGGAAAAATAAGAGTTGAATTTATAAAAGTAATATGCCTGTCTACCGTGTTAAAAATCTTTCAAAAGATAAATTTTAGTAAATATCCCTAACAAACATGTATTTTTTCTTTTAGGGTTATAGAGACAATCCTAAAATAAATGCAATTGCAGTTATTAAAGGAAAAGCAGAAGGTAAATTTTCATATAGATTTTTTTATGTCTATCAAAAAAAAGGGAAATGAAAATATAATTTTATTGCGACGTAATATGTTTCAGATGTTCCTCAATTAGGTCCAATTCCTCAAGAAGCTGAGGAATATCCCAATATACAGGAGGATGAAGAAGAATCAACAGTTCGAAGTAGGCATACGAGCGGACCTAGAACTCCAGACCCGTATTCCATTGATGATTCTTCTGTAATGTTACCTGTCTTTGTAGCGATAGGAGCTTTTATACCTCTTTTATTTTGTTTATGCAGATTGTAATTTGTCGATAAAAAATGTGCACAGAAACACAATGTACTTACTTAAGATTAATGATATTCTCAACTGCCTACGTTACTTTAATAATGTACAAAAGAATGTGTAAATGAATGGAAGCTAGCAGCACACGTTCCATTCCACTTTGCGTTATAACTTCAGATTTAAGATATAAATATTTATTACTAATTTATATAGATGAGCACACATACAGACGCACCTATACATTTTTTATTGTAAACAGAATTATTGATTTAATCAATAGATACACATGTTTTCAACGAAGATATGCATCTATGAAATTGCATATTATATTTTATATTTGTTTATTTTTACAAAAGGTGTAGAAAATAATTGTATAATTTGTTTACTTACTTACCTAATATACACACACACACAAACATGACACACAGAGCGTAATTGATAGCTTTAGCTATTGAAAAGCTTGTAGCGCATAGTCAATCAAATGCAAAACTAACATAAGTTAAACATAAATCAAGCCAAAACGAAGTTTGGTCGATAGCCCATTAAAAATATACCAAAGGAGAAATCTTTGATTTTTTGCAAAAGAGCAAATAAAGCTGTTACTATTACAACATTCGATTGTTATCATTTTCTCATTGGTCGTCAATTCATTCTTATTTAACATCCATTCGTTATTATTTTATCGTTTAAATAATCACCGTTTTATAATATACCGGAGAACAAAGTCCGGTGTTTGGTAAATTTCAGTATTATATAAGTAGATTATTGTCAATGCGCTATCGTAACAATAACTGATGATTACAATTTATCTGATGTTATCAGTTTCGATCATATTTTTAATCTCAAAATAGATGTTCGCACAAAATCATGATTATGAAGTAAGATTGTATATATGTATTTCTATGTCCATAAAACGTCTTCGATTTATTTATTTTTTTTTTTTTTTTTTATGGAAAAAAGGAAAAATTAAAGTGAAGGAAGGTTCTTATATCTCATTACAGTCGCTTTCTAAAGCAAACGCGCTTTCTCGACGATCGAGCATTAAGAGTCCCCCTGCGATCGTCGTCCAATCGCCATCACGGCAATCGGGATACACGTCGGTACAAGTGCCAACTTCCGCAAATTCACGGTACTGCAAAGTATCATTCGCTTATCAAACGGTGCTTTTAAAATGCCGTTGTATATCGATCATGCCGCGGACCGCGATCAACAAAAGGGGAAGACTTGCAACAAATTCAATTGGCCGTCGGGTCACTTCGAAGGATTTTGTAGGTGTGTTCAACACGTCTGTACGTATGCCTCGTACGTGAGCTTCATACGGTTCCTTAATGGGAATAAGCTCATTCATCCCATGAAACGGAAGATCACGTGACTGCCGATCGTCTAGGTCTTTGATGTATGGTCATCACTGGCAATTAGTTGTCAATTCAAGGCCGTACTTATGGCTTGGAAGACCCGACGTCATAGCCTCGAGTGCCACCGTATTATATTGTTCCCTACCTTGAGATAAAAAAAAAAAGAAATCTATTCTAATCAAATAGATTTCTTTCCCTGACGATATTTTTATGATCTTAATATTTTAAAAGTTATTCGAATCTCTCGATCACTCTACGTTAATATCTTTGTTATGATATTTTAAAATTCTTATTACACTTGTAGACTAATTATCGCGCTTCGAATCACGATATGTATAAAAGACGATGGGAATTTACGTTAAGATAGATAGGAAAAAACACAATTCTTATATTTTTGTCATCTATCTCAATTAAATAGTATGAATTTTTAATTTGTAATATTTCTTGTTTAAGATGAAGGAAAAATATTGATAAGTGAATGATACTTTTTACCTAACGAAAAATTTATTTTTCTGACTAAACGATGACTATTTTTGTATAACATTAAGGGGTGGACTTATGTATATATATATATATATATATATATATACATATGGTTGCGTGTCCATTAAGTGCGAACGTCAACTCGAATTCATGCATATACCAACAATCATCTCTCTCTCTTTCTCACTTTCTCTTTTCCTCTAAGGGGGAATGGTTTTATTAAAATCACAGACAGCAGAGATATGATAGGGAACACGATTGGTCAGAAATAAAATCTATAAGAGTTAAATACTTTCGTATAGTGTGGCAAATGTGCGTCTTACTATGCTGTTATTTGTTTACTTTTTTGTTTTAATCTGACAACAATCCTCATCGTTTGGAAAAAAATTTTTTATATTTTACTAATATCTTTAATATTTCAAATTATTCTTGTAATATCTGATAAGAATATCGCAACAAATTACGAAAGATAACAATAGTCCAACAGGAGACATACTTCGAAAGCATTTTCTATGAGAGAATGGTACGTCAATCTCAACTCGTTGGTCCAATTTGCTAATGCACTACGTTAATTGCCTAGTTAAAGTAGTTAGTTAAATTAGTGAGACCGACGAACTCTTGTAAAATCGTTAAAGTCGTTAAAATCATGAAAAAATCGAGGATCAATTTTTCATGATTTTAGTGATTACAAAATCAATCTTTGTATCTATGTGTGGATTCGAATTATAGATGAAAAAAGACAAACGGAAGTTTTGCATAATTAAAAATAAAATAAAGTAAACTAAAAAAAAAAATCGATATATGTATATAAGGAAATTTTTCATTTGAAATAAAAATAAAGAAAGGAACAAAATAATATATAGATGAATTTTGTCATTAACGATAAGTATTGATCCAAAGTTTAGTCTCTATCGATGGTAATCCACGGAATACCCTTTCTGCCAGATCATTATAGATTGAACAACTTAGTCTGATATGTGTGCATGTATGTATGCATTCGTTGACGCACGTATGTATATGTATATGTGTGTATATGCATAGATGTATATAGTATGGATAGAGTAGACATGATCGACAAAAAGAGAGAGAATGATCGAGCGAGTGATAAAGACACAAGGAATCGATCCCCCCTCGCATAAGAGTCGTTATAAAAGCAGCGGATGGTCAATCTCGACGTCTTATTGCTAACGTGACCATCAACCCGCAACAGAGAAGAGAATCACTTCGATCTTTCGAAGAGAAAGAAGTGTAAGAAAAAGAAGAAAGTTAAAAAAGAGATAAAATCGAAGAAAATGGTGCAAGTCACTGGAAGATATCAATACGTTTCCGGAGAAAATTTCGAGGAATATCTCCAAGCAATTGGACAATATGAAACGGCGAAACCTTTTTTGAACACTACACCGATCATTGAAATCTCTCAGAATGGAGACCAATGGGTTGTCGGTATTGAGAGTAATGGTAAAACTGCTGTAACAACTTTTAAGTTAGGAGAGGAATACGAAGAAAACATGCCATCTTTTAATGGTACTCTCAAGGTCGGTCTCATCTTCTTCATTTTCATCTATTGTTTTTTTTTTTGGTTTATTTCGATGTAGTTTGATAATCTTATATTTTTTTGTATCATTTGGAAAAGAATTACCAAATGGAAGAACTTATATTAGTGTTGTGTCGTAGTTATTTAAACTTGTGTACATATATATATATATATATGTATATTCCTTTATTTATTTTAAAGTAGTATAAATACATATAGAAAAAGATATAGTTCGTGTGATCTCTCTTAGGTTTTATTTATAACGCTGAAAATAAATGAAATAAACAATTAATAAATCGTCGAATTTATCTTTCAGAGTTTTACTACTCAAGATGGTGATGGATTTGTGACTGAAACTAAATTGGCTTCAGGAGTGAAAAGCATTCGAAATTATAAATTTACGGATACCCACATGACCGTTGTGAGTATTCTATTATAACATCTAATATACATATACAGTGAGTCAAAGTATTCATACCTGTTTCCACTGTAAATTTTAAGTAATTGATATCGCTTCATAATTCTTATGCACAGGATTATTAAATTTTTTAATTGATATAAATGTTATTGCAGAATAACATTTTATTTTTAGAAAAATATAATTTTATTAAAATGATAAAAACTTGGTATATATATACCAATGTACTATTGTATATCCTTTCTTTTTATTTTTTATTCTAATCCATCTAAAATTATGTGTGTATGAAATTATTAAATGAAATTTGAGACTAATGATAAGAATAAGATAAACAATAATCATTGTTATGACATTTTCAGCATTTAACGGAGAGTAATTCAGGAGTGAAAGCCACGCGTACATATAAAAGACTTTAAAATGTGTTATTTTAACAGTCTAGTTTGAATGAGACATAAAATAAATTTTTATTAACATAATTAATAAATAAAATCACTTCGTACAACTTTTATCGTCTTGTTTTATTTCTTCTTTTCTTTATTTAAAAATCCTATTAAATATCAATATTTTAACATTTTCTGAGCTTGAATCGAATATATGTAATCGATTGTTAACGTTAAATTAATTAATAAAAAAATTACTTTAACTATTATTATTTATTTGTTCAATTTTTTCCCTACTTTTCTAAATGAATTATTTTTCTTAATATTTTGCATTTCTTTAAATAAACTAGCGATTGTTCTAAAGTCTTGTTTAAAGTTTTATCGATCGATTTTGTTCTATATAGGATTTTTTATGTGTTGAAAAAGATCAATTGAAAAGGTAAATAATTTACTGATAAATGAATCAGTGTTGCATAATTTTATCAAACAATACTATTCTTTAGGTACCATCGTATGACAATAATGAAGAACATAATAATGATTGAAAGAAAAATAAAATATAAGGACATTATAACAACCAATAAAGTAAAAGAATAAATGTTTTACTTTATTAATCAAACACGATAAGTATTAATCTATCGATATAAGATACACCTGTTAATTCAATTATTCGAAAGTAAGCTATTAGATAAGTGAATTGATAAATGATGAAAATAAGAATTTATTATCTTATCTTAATTATAATAAATCTTTCTATACATAGTTATCAGTTTAAATATATTAAACTGGTTGATATTAATTACAATATAATTTAATTGAAAAGCGAAGTATTGAGATATGAAACTGATTGATTTTAATGAAATACTTATATAAGCCATTATAATGATTTCTTCATTTATCGATTTAAATATCTAGCTACTTAGTCAATATTAAATACAATTAAAAAATTATTAAACAATAATGTTTTATATGAAATGCGTTAAATGAGGACTGCAAAATTTTAAATGAATTTTGTCGCTTATTATGCATCATCTGAGAAACTTATGCAACACAAAATACGTTATTTACATTATAAGGAAGAAACTTGATACATTCTATAATAAAAATGCACTATTTTCCATTATATTCCTCATAAAATAATGATAAAATAATCGAAAACGATGCTAAACAGAATATTTTATAATTTAATTCAAGAAAAAGAAATCCTAGAAAAAATAAAAAAATGACGCAGCTCTTGTTAGATAATATTTTTTCATATATATGTATAATTTTTAGCTAAATTTGATATTTTAAAAATGTATATGATCATCGTGTATGTATTATTATATATGATTACTATAGTGTGTAAGTAATGAAAAGAATGTGAGTGAATGAATAAATTCTATTCCTAACTGTGAATCCGGATAAACATACATATTATTATTATTATTATTATTATTATAC